CATATGCAGTATAATCAACAATTTTTTACCTGGAGAGGCATCAATGTTTGACAGAAGCTCAAAGTGAGGTCTTAGTTTGATGAGTTCACCAGGGTCATTGGATCGTTGYARAGCAAAGATTAGTTCCACTATACTCTGGGAGAAAGACTGYGGYGTCTGGAGCTTGTCTATGATTGACTGCATGTGCGACTTGTGGTCTGAATCCCCATAGAGAACAGAAGACCACTGCTCAGGTGATATGCGAAGCCCTGCTTCCATTGCGATTTGAACTATCTGAGCATCATGCTCTCTTCTCAGGGCATCATAGGTMCGAAACTGAAAYAAAAGTTGAACAGCGAAAACACGTGAGTGGAAGCAGCAATCTGGATAAAAATAACTTTTTGGCAGATATAATCTTTGTAGACAAGTTGTCTTGTGAAAGCATTTTTCAGCCTTAAACACTGTGAGTAACACAAAGACTATTTTCACTGTCATTCACASAAAAAAATCAAAACTAATAATAACTACATAATAACTCATAATAACTACAAAATTGTTACTTCAATGTAAACGTAGCTGTAGTTCATAACAACTATATTATATATTATCATTATATTATAATTACCTGCTCTTTCAACTGCATCAATGAAGAGTCATCGTCCCTTTTAGTCACCACAAAACATGAAGCTCGGTACAACAACTGAACCACATGGCCGATACTTGTTTTAGAGGCTTGGGGAAACACATTTTCCAATTTCTGCACAACAAACAACACAAGGACTTTTCTGCACAGAGACTCTCCTCCCTCAAGAGCAAGAAGAATRAGTTTCAAWGCTTCTTCCTGCATTGCTGGCCCAAGAAACTGGCAACCACGATTGCGTACAGCAGCCCAGAGATTGGCCGAAAGCTGCTGTGGATTTTGATGAAGCAACATAAGTTCTGTGACAGTTCGTTCACCTAAGCTTCTAGCAGCTCTCATCACSCGTGTGCGTCCTTCTTCCTCAGCAAGTTGGCAGTTCACAAGGTTGACAAGTTTTCTTTGCATTGGCCGATTAAGTCCTGTGATGCCATTCATGGTATTGCTAGCACTTGCCATGGTCCCRTTAGCYGTGGTTCCCGTAGACTTCAGAAACATTGCCAGCTCTTCTATTTTTCTCATYGAAGTTASATATTTGCTCTTATTCTCTTGTATGCATGGAATGTCAGGGACATTGTCCTCTGTGACTTCAGCACCAACTAGCTTTAGCAGTGCAGTGTTCACAGGCAATTTGTCAATGTCTATGCTCACAGATGCTTGGTCAAAAGGACATTGGGTTTTGTGCAAAGTYGATAGACAAGCTTTGCACATTGTGTGTCCGCATCCTAGGCTGATAGGACGGCGGAGGGTTTTTTCGAATTCGTTGCAACATATTGGACAAGTTAGAAACTCCGTCCACTGGGGTGTTTGGATTGGCATCTCAGATGTCAAAATCTATAGCAGTTGTCTCCAACTGAAACAATCAAATACCATGGGTATACTGTAAAAGAAGAAAGAGAAGAAGTTAACAGGAAAGTGAGTGACTGACTGACTTAGTAAGTGACAGCTTCGTTCCCCTCCAATAAATCTTTGATTGCTTCCCAATCTTTGAGTTAAAATAGATCAAAATACATTATTGCAACTACAGTATTTTAGTGAAACCATTAACTATAGGGTACAATCATGACTGCAGTATTTTGGTTTTGAAGAGCTACACCTGTATTTCCAATCACACAGTTTTTTTGTATGCAAACAGTCATGCTTCTTTCAAACTGTTCACACACACAAATTCTTGATTATCTTGAAGGCTGTTATCTTTATCAAAATATTTAGTTCTTACTGAAGTACAGTAAAATGGTTTTGCAAAGATCAAGCCTTGAACATGGAATTTAGCTGTAGCTTTTCAAAATATATCAAGAAGACAAATACTTTAAAGAAAAATATGGAAATATATAATATAAATAATATATCAATTAAATAATACAATAACACAACACATTTAAAACTACGTGCACTAAATAAGGAAACCAATCACCCCTTTCGAAAACCAAAGTCAAACATAAATTCCACTTGAATATGTATTCCATAAATACCATAATAATGGTATGTACCCACCAATACATAGAATTTAAATCTTAACCATCGAAAAATGGAGCCAAATCTATGAAATAATTGATCAAATGATGTCCATTAGACACCAAACAGTTAAGTAACAAGGCTTTGGTTTATCCAAACCTCTACATTTTTCGTAAGCTACCTCGTGTTGTGTTTATCGCCAGGCTGAAGCCCCTAGCAAAAAGCATGGACTGCCCCGCATAGCATCCCCACACAACAAGTTCCTAATGATATTCTGATAAACAGGCTTCCAATGATAACAGTAACAGTAATATCCAAACATTAAAGATGAAAATATCTAATAAATTAAAGGACTTTACCAAAAGTTGCCTCCAAAAATATAAAGGCTGGATAATTCCAGAAATTTTCTGCTGAATAATATGCTGATGAGTCATTTTCATTAGAAAGTGAAAGTCAGTTCATGTCAATTCATAGTTCAAGGTCATTGAGTTTTAACTTGAGAAATTGTCTAAACCTAGTGCTATAAAATGTTGAAAATGATAAGAACATAGAAGAAACTTGTACTTTGTACAAACAAAATTTGTTTGTGTAAAAGCTAAGAGAAGGCCAAGAAAGATGGCGTGACATCAAAACAACAGGAACTAAAGTCATATGAACTTCCTGTAGAGCTAAAGCAGTCTTTTGTGGCAAGACTGAACATGACTACAGAAGTCTTTATTCAAAAGAAACATGGCTTGTTATAAACACTTGGAAAAATGGTCTTGATTTGTTGCCAATATTTCAAAAGGTAGGGATTTTTCCACAATAAATACACTTAAGTTGTGTGTAGGATAATATGTATTTTAACCTCTAACGAAGTACTGACTCAGAATCTGCTCTGACAAAGAGAAAAAACTGTTAATAATTGTGTRTGAAAATCATACTTGCAATGGCCTGTCTACTGAGAGAATTATATAATGCAGCTAAAATATAGCCAAACGTTCTGGTAAATAATGTTCAGTGATGTACTTTTGCACTTKTTAATGGTAATAAATGTAAATTAAACAAAAACATTGGTTATTCTACCACTTATTGCATTGAAAATAAAATAATCATTTACATCACTTGTAAAAAGCTTGTCAGAGATGGACAAATTGTCCATATAAAAACTGAAAGTTTCTATGAGTCCCTCTTATAGATAGCATATTATTTCATTTCCTTGGACAATATTTTTATTAGCTGCCCTACCATTGAAATCAATCGTACTCTATACTATTTGTTGAATGGTATTATTTAATAATAACAAAGTATAAATAAKAAAGTTAACTTCAGGACACGAAGTTCAATTGCAAGTAAAAAGTGTTAAGTCAAAAGCAGACTTTATTGTTGAATTGTTTAGTCATGTTTTTGGTCTTAATAAATGTATTTGTACTTTAGAAACAATAAACAAGCTATTATGATTTCTTTATCTAAAAAATATATAGAATGATTGCAATAAAATGATAGTGTTTTTTAAAACCAAATATCTATTTATAAATGATTAAAATAAACTTTTCACAAGACTCTTAGTTCTTAAAAGGGACCTGCTGTTTTAAGCTTAAAAAGGTCAATGGTTTTTGAGCAACAAGTTACGACTTGATACACAGTTAAAAGGYGTCACTTATGATTAAAGAGCTAGATAAACTTACTTTTGCTGTTCAATACTTGAAGCTAACTTACGCATTTTASTTGGGAAKCTCTGTTACTRAGAGGAATGAAACACCTAGCCTACACAAATTGATACAATGAACGGCTTCACAAAGGCACACAGCAAAGAAGTTGACCTGTATCTCTTTAAGATGACCTAGCTTTGAGCTGAAGCATGACACTACATGCACATTATGTAGCAGTTAAATTGAATGCCCACCTATGGTTAAGAGTTACATGTAGCAATGGATAAGGAACAGGTAGTAACATATTTTGTCAAGCACAGAGGCACTATCTACTCCTTCAAAAACTATTTTCAATTCAGTAAAAGCTTTGTATGTAGACATGGATGTGAACAAGTGATGAAATGAAACATTTTGTTAAWGGMAAATGGCACTATTAGYTCACTCAAAAAACACTGTATTAAATATACCAAACAGAAGTGAATAGAATAAAGTTGACAAAGTCTTCCAAAAGCATTCTTATAGAAAAGAAATATAATAAAAACATTTTATTTAAGTAAAAAGATTAATATCATATAATAAAAGTTAGATAATCTTACTTGTTTATACACAACTTACATCACATGAGAGCAAGTTAACATCTCTGTCTATGCTTGTAGTTTTTTTGTGCAAACAAAGATGTACAATAACTATACAGTATTAATAACCATTCTCTAAAAAGGAAAAGTTACCAGCTTAAGCTCCTTGTAGAAACATTAATGAAATTGGTACATCTTTAGAAATATGGTTGAATTATAATCATGTGTATTTAAACCATTCTTTAAGGCATGTATGCCTGTMAGTATTAGTCATTTCTGTACGTGGATTGTGCTGAAGCATTACACTGTGATTTAGGTGTGATCGACATACCTGGTGCTATTTATATCTCTGAGGTATTAGAAGAAACATTTGTTTGGTGATGAAATTTTCAAGAACAAAATGAATTTTCCTATTGAACAAGCAGAATCCATGTTTCAGTGTGTCTGTACTCTAATAGATGACGACGTCATGTGAACAATAAAAAATACACTATAAGATAAAATCAAGTAGCATGACTGCTGTTGAAAACAACTCCATTTTGCTTGTTGTATTGCAAACTCTGCAACTGCAAAATCTAGAATATCCAATAAAGTATCAGGGTGCAATATCGAACCATTTTCCTAAAATGGCACTAAATCACACCATTTTTTAATTAGAATGATATCATTTTTTGCTGTAATATACACACTTAATAATTATAACTCATCCAATTCTGAACACAAATACATTTATAGGTACATACATGTATACCATTTTCTTACACAGTTGAAAATTACATTTTTACAATGAAAGCTGKGAAGTTTTAGATAGAACTTCGCGCATAATCTTCTAGTCATTTCTTTCAAATTGAGAGTGGAGGCTGTATACTAGTTTTCAATAGAAACTTGTATGGTCAATGATAACTAATAGTGTGGCAATGATGATAGCAGTGCTATAAATAAAAAGTTAAGGTTTAAAAAGCACCTACTTCGATTAGGAAATCAGAAGACATAGCTAGGTCATCACAAAAAAAAATCTTTGGTGGCCAAACAGCATCACAGATGAATATGCTTGATATTACATACAACAGGCATAATGTATTGAAATATAATGTTTTAAGGACTTGAAAGTTCATTCAATACTACAGTAACTACATTCATATCATGGGGGGTCTGGAAACAAGTCACCAACAAAGCTAATCCAAATGACACAAAAATCACATTTTAACATATATTCAGATTAGTAGAATTGGAAATTTGGCATGATTTCCATCAAAATCAAATAACTTACAACAAGTTAACATGCTAGAATTTACGAAGAGGTTTATGGTCGGGAAGGTCATGAATCGTTCTTCCAACCACATGTTTCTAAAACGAATTTAGGCATCTTTGAATTGTTATAAAATCAACTGCCTTTTATTGAATTTGTAGTAAATAAAAACTCCTTCCCTCAGCTAATCAAAAATATTATTTTTCCTTTTTATCGGGTATTTTAACAGAAGCTGGCAAAGAGTGAAATCCGGTGCTATTTTGACCTTTGTTCTGGCTACTTTTGCCAAATTACTGTTTTAATGTGTGTGGCCTCTTGCGATTCACAAACAGTTACTTTCATACATCCATGTACTTCCAAATTTATTCAAGTTTCATACATCCACGTACTTCCAAATTTATTCAAGTTTTATATCATTAGGATGACCTTTAGTGGGCTTGTTCCTAGACCACTTGTAACAAGGTACCTAATGCATTTCATATATAATATTCCACCCCAAGTCTACCAAACAACACAATAAAATGCTGCAGTGGTGATGGTGTTTTCACTGCAATTGTTCCTAGTACTATGCCATTCTTTGCACCCCCTTCAATATCTCATCTTGAAAATTACATTTTTGAGTATGCTTACTTCTTCAATCTAGCTTCAACACCATTTTGAACTTCACTGTCAAAAATCTCATTCAATGTACTGTATATGCTCACATAACTTTCAGGCGGTAAACTTTTAAAAGTCCTATTATATTTGTTGCATAACACCTAAGGTGGGGATGACTTGTGCCAAGGCATACTTCACAGATCATTACCAGATGCAATCAAAGCAATATATTTCTAAAACTAATGCAATTTTCATGATATTTTACACATACGAACACCTTTTAGAAATGTTCACTTAATTGGTCTTCAGGAGAAAAGGTATTATAACGAAGTATCTTTAGAATTATAGAAAATATGGCTTCTAGAAAAACTGTTTACACCATGTCAAATACAACCCAATGAAACTGTTTGCATAAAAAACAAACACTACACGACTTGCCATGTGAAAATATATTATAGAATTAATGAGATATCCAAGATGATTGATTTCAAACTTCAGAAACATTTAAATTGCAAGATAGGGCTGATCTGATAGGAAAAAACAAGAATTGTGAATGTATTTGGGTGGGATTCTACTTGCACAGAAAACTGCCAAAACTACATATTATGCAAATCTTAAGATAATGAATTTAGTAACATGCTTAGGCATGTCTGAGTTTACAAGCCATGGCACATTGTCGAAACGAAATGATATGAGGTTATCTCCAGTATAAAACTTGATGTAAAAGTGATTGCAAATACATCGAATTCAAAAGAAACTTAACCTTTAGAGAAAAAGACTTCGGAACGCTGACTTTTTTCAATTAATAATCTGCATAAAATTCCTTCACCGAATTGATCCATGTAATGTATTCTATTTGTACATAAATAACACTGTTAGAATTGAGTTTTGCTTTATCAAATGGATCAATTTTCGAAATATTATCTGATCTTACACTTTATACAGATAAAACATTACATTACACTAAACAAAAAGCATCTGGTCATCGCAAAATGTCCAAAGAAGGAACACAAAAGATCTAAAAGATGTAAACATTGAAGTCGGTTGGGAAAATCAACGGAGCTTAAAATTGTTCTTCTGCTGAAACCATTTGGACAATTGGCCATTGCTAATCTACATTTTAAGTTAATACTAACAATACGACTTTAAACAATATTGGTAATAGATATAAGCTGTAAAAAAAGCAAATTTCGAATTGGTGTATCGCGTGTGAAGTCGTTTTCCATGAAGTTTGGTCGTCTGGTCCGAAAATTAATCAGGAGTTGATCCCAAACTATTAAAACGCGAAATACTGGGGCCGTCATGGATAAGTTATTCAGTAAAGATTCCTACAAAGATAGCAAAAGTAAATAAAATCCAACCCAAGTTCGGATAAAGTTCTTGGAATTCCTACAACGAGGTATTGTAATGTGTGAATTTGAATTTCGATGACAACAAAGACTGCATTCCGATCTTGTTCTTACTCACGAATCTTGGTTCTATTTATAATTGGAATTCCATTCCATGCAATTAGAACGAGTTAGAATTCCGACAAAAACATTCTTGAGCTTTGAGATAATTCTAAAACACACAAGAACTGGGCAGTCTTGAGAGATAAGAAGCCCAATCGTTGTGCATTCTTCCAGTCTTCGACTAAGGGACATCTGCATTACAGATTTAATATGGCACGTTTATGTTCAGCAAAATCACAAAATCAAGCCAAATTTTAAAGTAATAAGCCTTGAATAAACTATTTTTCTTTTCTGACGGTGAAATATATATCGTTGTGAATAATACTAAAGAAATCGCCCCCGAAGGAGAGACATGCACAAAACTATTGTCTTTGAGCATGGATCCATACCTCGGTGCATACCGAACGCGAAGAAGCTTCATTTTATGCTCAATAAACTCACCTTATTTTCAGCACAATATATTATATACACGTCTCCAGAGGTCTAAAAACTTCGTGGACACTTCAAGCTTCGAAAAAAGCGAAAATTCCCCAGACAACAAGCACTAACAACGCGCCTGATAGGAAGTCGGTCTTTGGGTTCTCCTTTGCAAAAGGAATTAAAAACCAGGTTGATTCGACACACAAAAAATGTCTTTAAAGGCTTTAACACACTCCCAATGGAAGTACAATGCGACTATTGCATCCAGTCAACAGCTTTTTGAGATATCCCTAAAAATTGGGAATATTTGGCTAAGTCTTCGGCCATTCGTTATCATCACATTGCTAGCTGTTTCTATATAACGCCATGACCGGAAAAAGTCATGACGTGGGATCTCCCCTCTGTGTTACATCACCGGCCTCCTGATTGGCTGAAACTTACCACGTGTTATAATTAATCCCATAACAAAGCTACTCTCTAGGGGATAGAGCGAGGAATTTGCTCAACAAAAAAAACCCTCACCACTSCTAAGAAGTAGCTTTTGCAACATTTTCAACGATGACCTATCGTAAAGGTAGTGTTTCTTTGTTTGCAAAAGCACAAAGACGATTTCGGTGAATATTCTTAAGATTTGAAATAAGTAGAGTTTATTTTAAGCAATTGCTTTAAAGCTGTAAAGAAATTATTCTCAGTTCGTGTTAGAACATGAACTATTCCTCTCCTCGACGTCTTGCTAGAATATGCCTGGACCTGTCCCCTCAAAACTCAACAAGGTCACACAATGAACCGCGGACATTTAACCTAAATATTTACCAGTGAAATTAACTGCGAATGCATACCGAATTCATTCAAAGGATACTCTTAGTCTCACAAATGCATAAATGCCTAGTTAAATCAATTTTTGCTGTGTAACGATCTGCATGAGTACCCGAGCGGGGGCGCGCCAAACGACTCGAATCCTAAAATATTTCAAGCCCTAAAATAGAGTGATTGATTGGAGTGACATTTGTGAAGCCTCCATAATTAGTGACACGGACGACGTGACATCAATATTTTCCCGCCAGAACTAAATTAAGTGTGGGGGATTTTGGTTGACGCCTTGTCCTTGGCACACCTCGACTCTTTGACCTTCAAGAGAAACTCGTTAAAAGAAACTTGACGAAAATAAGGTATTTTCTGCTGTGAAGATAACGCTTTTAAATTTATAAGCAGAATGCTTTAAGAAACACTTTTACAAAAATTAGAATTGATACTGCTTTACTGGGACGATTTATATTATACATTTATATTATAGAATTATCATAGTTTATAGATCAATTTTGTATTTTTTTTTTCGTACAGAACGGAAAAAGTTTTTAAGTGGCAAATTGTTTTCGACTGTTTTAAATATAAAAATTATCATTTATTCTCTAAAGATAACCTAATTAACGACAATATAAATATCGGTGAGTTTTGTTTTTAAATTGGGGACGGCGGAAGTAATTTATCCACTTCCCGAGGTACTTTGCGTGGGTGGGGCGATACCTTAAAAAACTACCTGGTGTTAATGTTAGAGCACCTTCAGAAATAAACTTCTACATCGCAAACTATGCTTCAAGTTGTTGCTCTCTACATGTCTCATTTTAGGCCAGATTTTTAGGAACGGTTTATTCTTTTTCAGATAATCAAACTGTACAAGGCAATATGGTGTAAAATTAAGTCCAAAAAGTTGCATGCTGAAAACATGCGGCAGAACGCTGTTAGAAACCTCCACACAAAAGGAAATTTAAAAAGGCTAATGTTTCCAAAAAAAGATTCAGATCACTTAATCTATTGTCTTTAATTGAATACTTGCTCATTTTCTTCGTTTTGAAAAGTTGTTTTTAGTGGAAAACAAAAGCTTGAGCAGGTAGACATGCAGGGTTTATATTTTCCTCTCGTCCGACTGTTGACGAAAACTCGTGCATCAAAAGACACAATAAAAATAACTAAAAAAATACGTTACAAATATTTTTAAATAACGCTTCTAGCCGGAGACTCGTATAAATAACGCGGTATGCGAGGACTGTCGCTCTTAAACTAGTAAATAGACAATTTTTTCACAATGCGCGTGACACTCAAACGTGTTTTGGTACATGCTTTCTTGCGCGGATAGCGCTGCTGTTTACCGATTTAACAAAAAAACAACTTGAGAAGTTTGCTATGATGAAACTCTGTGATTCTGAAGAAGGAAAATTACTAATAACAAATAGATCAATGATTCGTTAGCCAAGTCGTTTACTGTACGGAAACCTAGCCTTTAGGGTACACGTGGCTGGCTAAGCTCCTTATAGATTCAACTAAACTCATTGACATTTATGTTTGGATCTACACTAAAATAAAGAAACTAAGGAATACTCAACGTTATTAAATTTCTAAAAGCATTACTTTGAATTATTTGCAACTCGGTTTTTGACGGTTGAAGTTTCGCGCTTCAGTTCCTCGAGCAGTGAACTGGAAAAGCCAAACATAACAGCACCAGTTATTGTTCTCCTTTCAAATAAATCAACCCAATAGATAACCCGCTATCCACATGCTTATTCAAAGCCTATAATAATATGCTTGCTAAATGAAGGAGTCAGTTAAAACCGTTGAATTCGCACGCACAGTGAAAGCGATTACAAAAACGCGAAAATATACACTTCGAGCTGAAATTCCATTTTGCGCACATTCCTATAATACGTGGACAATATGAGATAAATGACAATAGAAATTCTACGTTAATACAACTAACATACCCAGGTCGAGGGGCAGTAAGTGTCCAAAGCCTTGCTCTTTCTCTTGACTTAAAATTCCCAGTGTTATGTTTTCACGAGAAGTGTTCTTCCTCAAATTTAGAGGTGACTGGCAACATGCAGAAACCTCGACGCCCTTTTTCTTTTTCGCCAAAGAGCAATTGCTATTTTCAAAAGGTTACGCCATTCGGCATGTTAGTCAAATGCTAATTTGCATGGAGCGAGAGGGGCCTGGCACTAGGGTGGGTCGGGTTGTTTTTCTAGGAACTCCACTAATCATGTTTATGTAAAGGTGCAAAAAAATAGGTGTGCCTCTGTCTGTGTGCCATGAATTTTCTCCAAAACCTGTGCCAAAAKCTCACACCTCATCTTCTAATTTCCTATGCAGTTCATGTGACGAATAGTCGTGTTGTTTTACTATTTCTAAACTAGATTTTCTGGAGTTAATTCATAACTTGAGGACTGGAATTTTACACAAGTTCCTGACCCCTGCGAGTAAATTCAAACAATTTATTACGAATTTTATTAGTACCAAGCGACTGAAACTAAATCATTTTACTATTGCTGATTAAAAAAGACTTCACTCAAATATAAATGTATTTCTATTTTGTCCTATTTGACGTTTTCCTAGTGCATGTGTACAGGAATTTTTAAAAAATACGGTTTTTAATAAATATATACGGTAGTGAAATATGTATGTGCCTACGACTCAATTGACAACTCGACTCAAAGTCCATAACTGATCTATAAACAACTGTAAGTTCATCAAAGGTAGCAGGTTCATTTTTGGCAGCCATATTGGCGATGTTCGTTCAACTAGATTATAGCCACTTGTGGATTAAAAAATTAGCTTACAAGTTACTGGTTCTACTGAAAGCTTAAAGCTGRTATAARTTTTGTTTTCAAATAAAGTCTTAAGGATGAAAAGCTACTCGCTGARGTCGCATTTTGGCGGCGAATTCGATGCAAATATATATTTCAAGCAATTTTAACTTTTACTTCTTACATGTTATCTTATTTGCCACGATAGAATACAAATTCATTAAATGCATGGGATTCAGCGCGAGTTTCTCTAATAGGTAATTTTTTGGCGTGCTATCAACTCTGTTGTCTTCCTTAACTCGTCAACCTCCTGCTGCTCGATCAAATCACTCGCCTGTGGCCGCTCGCGCGATTGTACGAAAGGGCGAACAGCAACTGAAATCATGCAAAATCTATGAAATCATAACCTAAATACTCTGYAGTCGGACCAAGGTCATTTGTTTTCCGAAGTATCTGTTATATTTAATTTTCATTTTGATGCAGAAAATGAAGAATGAACGAAAGCAACAATGGCAGACAAGTTCTTGTTACCTCGCTATTTTTCGCTCTGACAACAATTTTTTATAGCACAGAATTATATAGAATTATCATTAAGATTGTTAGTAAAAATACACAAGTACGCAAACACCGTTAAGTTAAGCAATTCCTCGATCTTAAAAGTCGGAAATTTTGTCGTCGGATAATAAGACTTTGCCGCAAACTCAAATGTTATATAATCTGTAAATTGGTGATTGACTAGAATAGATCAGTGGTTGTTGATGCCCAGTTACTGTTGATGCCCAGTTTTTCTTTGCGCAAGAGGTAGTTAATTGACCAGTGCTATATAAAAAATTCCGTAGAAAGCTTTGAATAAATAGAATTCAAATAGCGAAAGTACATTGTCGCATTACGAGGTGAGTCGAGAATTTTAAGGCAGAGGCCAGGGCTGTCGTGAGATTGGAATAAATTAAAGTAATTTTCTGGCCTGTCAAACTGAAACTTCTTATTTCACGCTCTATGTAATTAGTATCCCATAGATCATAGTTAAACAAATTACTTTGAACTTATTAGTATACATCAAGCATCTATAAGCCAAAGAACATTACCCAGGCCTGATGGTCGAATCGATGCTATATGCATGCGCGCACTGCATTGAGAAACCGCTGGGCGCTTTTATCGAAGCGCACACATCCTAAATATCAAATTTTTAATTGAACAAATAAAAAAGGAAATAATTTTAAGCAAATATATTTAATCTTATACTAGTTAGTGTTTTCGTATGTCATACTATTGATACTGAGCTCAAAAGTGAAATGAGAACACGATCGTCACCTGTCAAAGTACCTGCAAAAACTGACACATCTTTGCTCTGTAAATTAGATAGCTCAATTATTGATTTTCAAGAGAATTTTGTCTGTTATTTTGAATAGGTATGCTATTTACTGTAAATAGAGTTGGTCCTTGGATGCACTTGATATTTATTCATCGAATTGATTAAAATCGATAGATTTTATTGTATAATGATTGGCGACACCGCCCTAATGGGTCAATTCACACAAACCAAATTCGAGTGTGATGTTGTTGACTACTGAATCGACTTGTGAACTTTGTTCTYGTTATCATTCGAGAATATAGGTTCTCCTTGTCATTACTATTATTACTTGTTGCTGTAGGTTATTTGTTGTTATTTTTGCCATCATTTTTTCCCCGTATAATAACTGCATAAACAAATTGGCGAAAATATGTTGGTATATTTGAAAATTATTCACGTATTGAACAATGGTCATACACGAGCTCCATTAGGCGCTGTAAG